TCGATTTTCTATTTTTACATAATTAACCAGCTAGTCAATGGAAAAGTTAAAACTCTGACTAATGATCCTAGTTTGCCAACATAAAAAGATGAATTGCATAGGGAGTAGAAGGTATAGTTTCTCTTTTAGTTATGTACACACATGCGTGGGAGCCCGTAGGATTTTTTGATGTTCCAGATAAACCATTTCCATTCAACATACTGTGAAAACCTAATTATGTTTATACCTATGCCATGAAGAGGCCTTGCAAAAAATTGTTATCGCGGTAGTCTGGGAACAAAAAATCCCTCAAATGCTTCCATCCCCTCTTCCCTGCCCAAACGTGAGGGCACTTATGTAATAAAATTTTCAGATCCTTTTTCCCCAAACAAATAAATAAATTAGGGGCTGTACATTTTGCATTGACATTTAAAACTTCTGAAATTTACAATATTTTTCAACGAAATTTAAATTCTGTCGATAAATTTGAATTTAGTTTTAGTTCGGTAAGTTAAAAATTTTACTACATAATTGCCCTCACGTTTGAGCAGAGGGGCAAGCATTTCAGGGCTATTTGTTGACAGGTCTGTGCCATCCCAATTTTTTACAAGATCTCCTTATTTGGCATAGGTATAAACATACTAAAGTTTAAAGTTTGCACAATGCATAAAAGAAACATCAAAAAATCCTGCAGGCGCTCATGCCACCTGCTGGATTTTTTGGTGTTTCAGATAGGACACTTTCACGCATTGTGAAAGTGTCCTATCTGGTAAGTAAGTATCTGGAATACTGGCTCTGAGTGTACTCAGGGCCAGTATATAAGGGGGGGGCATGTGTGCATACATGTACAATAAATAGGCTGCGTATTTTTTGAGTCGACAAAAAACAGGTTTTAGCAGTGCAATGCCTAATAGATCAGAGACGCCCCTACCCCTCAAAAAAAAACGTACCATTAGGGTCTCAAAATCTTCTAAATTGTACCGCTAGGTTTTGTTATAAAATCGCAAAAGAGCATAAAATTTGCTGCTCCCCCATTACACCCCACCCCCTCTAATTACGGGGTATGGGTAGCCTACATTCGGCGCTGGGTTTTTAGCTTTGTTTTCAATATTACTCTTCTTGCGTGACTCGCTCTTTACGGACTTACTAAAGAGAGGTGCTTAAAAAAAACCTCTGCCTTAAGAATAGTTTATTTTTGTTTGATGCGTCTCATTAAACAAAAAAAGTAAATTAGGACTTTACTGGGAATCGAACTCGGGTCTCCGCTGTCATTGGCCAAAATATTATCCACTCGAACAACCAAGCAAGCTCTTCGATATTACATGATTTAATTTTATTTGAACTTATATTAGTATATATTTGATAATATTTTTTAAATTGGAAGCCTTTGCCGCTAAAAAAAGGACTTTGGGGTCCTATAAATACTTTATATGTTGGCGCTACTGCAGTTTTTCTACCCCTACCCTTTTTTTTATTGTTTATTATGATTGAGAATTTTATGTTGATTAAGAATTGTATAAAAACATTAGTCTGAAAATCAACAGCAAGTGCTCTAACTCGATGTTGAAGTTTAAAAAATTACACTAAAAAACGCTAATATTTGCCAATTTTTTTTGTTCTCGGTTATATTGAAACCCTTTCCGAAGATGATTTTTTAAAACCTGGTTTCTATCAACAATTTAATGCAAAACAGTTAATAATGCAAAGCGCATCATTTTCTGATTTATCCCTTGTCCAAACCCTGACCCTTTCCTAAATCATGTACGTTTAATCGCGTCAATCCCTATTTGTCAGTCGAAGTGTGTGCATTTAGTTGTGCCAAAAATTGGATTTTTAGCTATTATATTTTTCCTTATGAAAAAATTAATTTCATTATTTTAGCACCAAAATATCGCGCCACAGAATTATTCACGCGTGATGATTTTTTTTAACAAAGCAAAAAATTTTAAAGCGTTTTAATTAGATGATATCCGCTAATTACTGCGTATAAATTTACGCTAATTGTACTGATTCCTGTTATCACCACATAAAGTCGATTCGAAAAACATAAATGCAACTTTAACTTCACTGCTTACATCTAATAAATCTTTAAGTATGCTCATATTACCAAGGTCCTATATTACCCTAATCTACCCTATAGTTTTTTACTTTTCTGAACTTTCGTTTACAGAGCAATTGTAAAAAAAATTAAGAAAATTTGTTATAAGTTCTTGTCTAAGGTTATATGTAGATATAACCAGAGAAAATAAATCTTTACTTAAAAATTCCTCAGTTATGTAATGGCACTTTGTACACCATCATTTTATCCCCTTAGTTAATGTTACATAAACAGTGTCGCCTTTCTTTTTAAATAATATAATCAATGATAAAAAGTCTTTTATAAATAACTTAGTTTTTAAGAATTCATTTTTTTAAAGATTCATGTTTTTAAGAATGTTATTTTGTCAACCTAATTCTAGTAAAATCGGTCTGGGATTAATTTCTTTTAATCCGGGTTGTTTCTAAAAAAGGATTTTATAGCCAATATGGTGATTATCTGACGCTAAAAATATTTTTAAGTAATAATTTGAGCCTGTGATAGACAGGAGTCTAATATAGATATTTTTGCGATGGTCAGAAATGAAATACCCATTAGCGCCCATTCCAAATTGCTGCACTAAACTAAATTACTGTATTTTTGTTTAATTGCACCATTACTGCAAATTTGTAAAGTTAAACCATTACTGAAAGTTTTGTTTAACTGCATTTTACTCTGTTATACTATCTTCTTTGTTATACAATTTAATTCAGTTATGCAATCTTTTTCGTTAAAAATTCTCACTGTTATACAATTTTCTCTGTAATAAAATAATTTTTTAAAGAAATGGTACACCATACTAAATTTTTTTTATTATAAATTAAGATTATTGCGATTTTAAGAAGAAAATTTGCAATATTTAAAAATATGCAATATTTCTTTACAAAATGTAATTAAATATTGCATAGTTTACTTTATTAAGCATTTAATTTCATATGTAAGATAAGGGTCTATTCGCACGCACGTGTGAGACTATATCTTATTATAGTCTATTCATACGTTTAAAAAAAATAACAAGTTATATTTTTAATATTAAATCTCTCACAAACAAAAAATGTTTATAACGTAAGTCATATATTTTAAAAGCAATTTAATTTTTTTAATCAACTTTAATAAAAATAATAAAATTACTTAAACATAGTTATATTTTTATTCAAAAAACAAACAAAAATGTGCTAATAGATAAAAAAACATTAAGAAATACTTCTCTTTTTAAATTAAAAGATTGCCTGCCCACGCCAAAACCCTCGTCATTGTAATTATACCTATCCCTTGATAAGCAGTCCGTTTGTATATATAATACAGTGCGCCTATTTTTCAAAAGCCAGTCAACGTAAGTTCTGCGTTAGTACTCCACTGCGCAAGTTTAATTTTAAAGTTTAAAATCAATAATAATAAACCTAATTTTTTTAAATTCCCTTTAAGTTCGATGATCTATATCTTTTTTTAATTAAACGTGCGAATAGACTACAATTAAATATAGTCTATTCGCACGTTTATCACGTGCGAATAGACACTCGGTATAATAAAATATCGACGCTGAGAAAAATCTTGTTCAATTTCATTTACATTTAATAGTAAATTGCTTTTATATCACTTTGTATGTAAGATTTTTTTAACAGATAAATTTTTAACTCATTTTTTTTTAATGCGAAAGCAATTTGCATTTAAAGGTAAAACTATATCACGTAATGTAATTTTATAAAAGCAATTATACTTTACATGTAGAAATTTTTCATTTAATTTTCTTTTAAACTTTGATTTATAAAATAATGTTACTTTATAAATGTAAATAATTATACCTGTAAATAGGGTTTCCAGATGTCCGGCTTTTACGAAGGAGAACACAGTAAGAATATTAACTCTTAAAAGTTCGGCACAATATTCTTCTACGTAAAAGCCGGACATCTGGCAACTCATCTGTAAATGCCTTATGAATGTAAAAAAGTAGAAAAGTCATTTAATTTTTCATATAAGTTTGTTTAAGTAAAAGAAAAGGACGTAAAAAACCATCCGCAACTCAAAATGTGTTAAGTTTGGTATCTAGTTTTGTCGGTAACATTTGATTAAATTTTATGTAACCAAATGCTACTGACCATTTTTTTATTTCAGAGTAAATTTGACTATCTGGTCTATATGATATCGCTTATAAATAAAAGCAACCGTTTAATCTTTGTTTAAAATCTCGTTTAATCAAATAAAAAATCTAATATACGACTTACATCACTTATACGACTGCTATATTTACTCCAATTTTTCTAAAACAATAAAAGGTAAAAAAAATCATAACAACTATTTGAGAAATGCTTTTATAGTTATTTCATTGTTATTTTCTTCGGAATTTATAAACATATAGGTGTTGTGAAATCCTGCTGAATTTTAAGGCTTCTGATTCCTCTATTACATCCGTGACCTTTCACAAAACAATGCATATTGGCTTTTTTAATATATTTATTTTTTTATATTATGTTATATCTTATATAACTTTTACATTGTTTTATCTAAATAAGGATAAATTTTGTTGTAAATCCTTTTATGAAGAATTATTTTGTTCCTTTTTGTTGCTTGTACATATAAAGTTCAAAATGTTTTATTTCAAACACAATGGGTTTAACAACTTATTAATATAATCAGCAGTAGGCTGTGATTAGGTTCACGGTCACTTGCACGTTAAACGAAAGGCTATTAATAAAGAAATGATTGTATGATCTCTTAAACTTTTATATTCATTTAATCGTTTAAAGAAATATTTAAATAGCTTTTTCTTTTTTTTTCATGTTTATAAGATTGACAATATTATATTACTGCGCAATAAAATGTCTTAAAGAGCATTATATGTTTTTTTTATTTTATTCAACAAAAGAGTTAAAAGGTTTTTATTAGTAACATAGATTCCGTTGGAAATCCCTCAAAACGGTACTAAAGTTATAAATCTATTAACATGTTACTTTATATAATATCTAATCTGCACTCAAAGTATTTTTAGTATATATTGATAGATAATAAGATAAGTCTTTTGTAACAAAAGCTTATTGTTGACATAATTTATATATTAATACTAGTTGGGTTCAAATGAATTGGAAAAGCAGAGTTTGTATTTTTGTTTTAATACTGATGTGTTTATATTACTTTTGTTTATTTCAGTTTTGAAATTAAAGTTAAAACTTAATCTTGCAAAAGACTGTCTTAAATAGCGCTCAATAATTTGATAAGTAGATCTTTTTAAAGCAAATACTTGCAATATTTGCTAAATATCTTTTTTAGAATGACTTCAGCAAGTGAAATTGAAGATTGGTTTAATGCAGTATCTCTTTACGATGAAGGAAAGGTAGAAAATGCCATAAAAAGCTTTGAAGCACTTGAGCAAAATGGAAGAATAAAATTCAACATTGGCTGTTCTTACTTAAAACTAAGAGATGTACAATCAGCAGCTAAGGTATATTCTATGAGGAATTAACACCAATGAATCCTTTATGATATTTTTCTTGTTTATATATGTATTTTCATTGATACATATATGTAATGAAAGCATCATTAATGTTCCATTGATATTTTTTGTGTCAACTTTACTCAAAAAAGACAAAGCCCAATCGTAGTCAACATTATTATTTATCTAATCTATTAACAAGTAACATCAGCTTATGAAATGAGCATGAATGATGTTTTCACTTAATTTTAATTTTCTAAATTTTACTCAACTCAGATCATTTATTCCTTAAAATTGACAAAAGTGCCATTAAACGAAAATTTACTCTGTTTTACTACTTCTATCTCTGTAACAACGACATCTTAGTTTTTAAAAAAATGAATCAAAGTTGTATGGATGATTCTGGCATTTGTACCGGTTACTCAGAATATATAGATGTGGTGAGTATTCCGCTTGGATCCGGAAAAAATGCTGAAAAACCGGGACCAAGCTAAGTACCCGGCATATCTCCATTTCAACCAATTTATTAAGTTTTCATTTTTAACAGAATTTTATTTTAGCTGATTTAAATTTTTTTTTATATACAGATAATATTAGATAATATTAAATGTTTTTTTTAATTATTATGCAATAGGTGCAGCAGAATGTGCATAAATTGACCAGTTATACATAGACGCAGCGAGTTTGCTTGCATCAAATATAATGACCATAGGCGCCGCAGAGTGTACATACTGCAACTAAAGGTTTTTTTTAATTATAAAAGACAAGCACTTTTATGATTAAAAAAAAAACTATTTCTCAAATTTTATTGTTGTAAATTGTATTTGTTCTAAATTTAAAAAAAAATACAAAATACATAACGGAATCAACTAAGTTATTAAGTCATTTAAAGTATAGTAGGTTAAAATTTTAGTCATCGAAATCTCAATATGTTGAAAAATTGTATGTTAAAAATCAAAGCTTTATATTCTAAAAAATTTAGATAAAAACTAGATTTATTTATAGACCATTGTTCCGATATAAAACTGTTACGTAAAAACGTTCACAGAAAGAACATATTTTTGGAACGAATGTGATTAAATGTGATAAACTTTATTTAATTACTGCCAATTGTTTATTAACATTGTCATGAGCTCCTGCAGGATTTATAACCCCCGCATTTTAAATTTACAAACAAAAACCCCCGTAGGATATACAACCCCCGCATTCTTAATTTAAAAACAAAAATCCCCGTAGGTTTTACAACCCCCGCATTTTTAATTTACAAATAAGAGAGAAACGTTAAATGTAGAAAACTTTTGTTGTTGTGAAATTTATACTTTTTTCAAAGAAAACAATCATATTTATTACAAAAAAATTTTAAGTTAATGCCATATAAAACAAAATGATAGAAATCTTTTAAAATCTAAAAATTACGTCAATATTTAATTAAAAATGCGTCAAAATTTTGAGTTGAAGACAAAATTTTTCTTTTATTGCGTACGAACTCGTACGTAATGTTTAATACTATTGTTTGTTTCAAATGTACAAATATCAATTTACGAAATAAAACTAAACAACAATTTAAACTTTGTATTTTAACCAAGGAGTGCCCAGTTTTGTTCTTGAGTTGTTTTTTTTACCAAAATGTTTTAGTTTGTTTCATTACTATATAATATATAGTTTGGTTTTTTTTAGTGGTCAATAGTTTTATAAAGTATAGAATAATAGGTTAAAAATTTTCAAATTTCGAAAAGTAAAGTTTTTTTGATAAAAAATTATCAAAAAAGATGTGTTGCATACCTTTTACTTTTTATGTTTTGCTATTTTATTTTATTTTATTATTATTTTTTTTTTTGTATTTCATTTATATCGCTGTTTAACAAAAATTTTCATAGACCCTCTATATATACTTTCAATAGAATATAGATATTATATTATTAACCCTAATGGGCAAAAAACTGCTGCGCTGATCAGTAAATCAAATAAAGATTAAAAAAACAACTGAAATAATAGAATCAAATAGCTTCAGAGTTACTCAACCACAAATAAATCTCAAACTTTAAAACTTTCATTTTGATTTGAAACTTAATTGAACTTTATGATTTTGCTATACATTTAAATCTTTTTTGAAAGATATTCTATATATTTGGATATCGATATGCATTGCTATGTTCAGTAAATTTGTTAAGGTTTCTTAGACAGTTTATATATGTTACTTATATTTTGCTCTTAGATAATAGTTTTTCTTTCTATTTATTTCAAACACTTTGTTAAGTTTTTCAGGAGAGAGATAATTGTTGAATCGATACATAAAAGTTAAATGCTGATAGATATTTATTTCAAAAATATCCATCATTTTCATATCATTCATTATAGGTTCACGCTTATTTTTAGAGCAAATGATTTTGCACGCATGTTTTTGCAAACTATAGATTTTTTTAAATTTGATGGTTGAGTACTTGCCATGATATTTTTTATAACTAATGAAACAATGAATTAATCCAAAATATATTTGTTTGTGACTTAGTTTATTGATATATTAACAAACTCGATACGTCATACGAATTATATTGGTGACTTTAGATTTTAATATATTTTATTTGAGGAAGCCAAGATAAATTCTCATCAACGAAAACTTTTAAGAAACTTATACTGGCTTGTTTTTAACTAATTTATTATTTAAGATAAGGTCAGTTTTGCTTCTTCTTTGAGCATTTTATCTTTCAAATTCCATTTCTAATTAAATACTAATAAGAATATTCTCTATTGCCGTCACCGAAGTTTTTTACACTCGCGTTGTCTTATTAATTGCTGACAACACATTAAATTTCAAAAGCATATCAAAAAAAGATTTTATTTTCGGAACTTTTGAATAACTTAGAACATCGAACTTTATGTCACCAACGACATATAAAGTTTTATTTTCTTTATTTATTTTTTCAATTTATTTTAGGTAAAAGTTTTAAATGGTTTCATTTTATCTCTTGGTGGACGATAAACCCATTCAATTAAAATATTTCGAAATTTTATATTTATAGTTTCAATAAACAAACTTTCATAATTATCGTTTGAGAATAGTATATTTATTATAAAATTATGCTTTTTTCAAACATAAAGCCCTTACCTTTTTTTTTTCTTCCATTTTTGCTTGGTTGACTAATAAGTTTATAAAATGGCATGTTATAAATAGAACTTAATTCAAGAGAATATTCAAAATTATGTCTCCCTGTTAGGGTATTGTGAACATGCTTGGATAGCATATTCAAGGTCTAACCTAATTGCGGTAATTTCTTACTATAGTAAAAAAGTATGACTACAAAAGGTGTTTTTCAGCCTCCCTAGGGAGCAGTTAGCGTTGTTGCTGTTGCTAAAACTCAGGCGTGAAGTTTTTTTTAGAAATAAAAACTTCCAGACCACTCTCTAAATCAGTAACTTTGAGTGCAAGTGGCAGGTCATCTGGTCTTTTATAAAGTAACTTCGCGTTGATATTATTGTAAACGCGAATAAGTAAACGCATCACTTTGCACTTCTCAATATTGAAACTCATCACTGATTGGTGTGACCATTTAACAGCTTTGTTTATGCCTGCTTGCAGGAAGTCTTATTTTATAAACGCCTATTATCTTACACACAACAGTTCAAAGTTGTCTGGATGTTTATCAATATACAAAACAAAAAATAAAGGTAAAACCTAAATACCAACCTAGCGACACGCCGCTGGTAAACCTTATTGCAACTTAATTTGTGTTCTCCATTTACAACTCTCTGCTGCCTTCCTGAAAACCATGCTTTGATTTATGCATGGAATTCTTTTTTTTATTCCATAGCTTTGAGGTTTTTGGAAGAGTCTTTTTTTGGGGGGACTGTATTTAAGACTTTTGCTAGGTTCGTGAAGATGATGTCTTTGGCGTACCCCTGGTACATAGCTTCTGTAATAAGATCGAAAATCTCAAAATTTTGAGACTTTTGATTTTATGACAGAAGATATCCACCAAGGGTACGACAAATGTTTTAAAACGTTTCTCAAGCACAACTTGTTAGAGACGAAGCCATGTTTATTTATATATATGACCGTTTAAAGTTTAATAACTTGCCAACATGACGTCTACAGGACGTCCGTTAGACGTCCGTAAGACGTCTCAAGGACGTCCGTTAGACGTCCGTAAGACGTCTCAAAAAACGTCCGACGTACGTTCCCCGGACGATGCATGTCTACTGGGTAACTGGTCTCAAACAAAACGTTCCATAACTTTGCAAAGAGTGATATTTGTCTGTTAATTGTCTGTTTGTTGTATCAGTAGTACCTGCCCTATGTTAATTTTCTATTCGTAATATTGATTTGGTGTTTGGTTGATTTTGTGTTAGCAATATTGTATTAAATATTTGGTAAAAATTGATGGTGTTGGTTCTATTGTTTTTTTATAAATGATCAAAACGTTAAACAGTTTTAGACAATTCAAGTTAAATATTAAAAAAATTAAGAAAAGGTAATTTTAATGTGTTGACTACTAAATAAAATGAAAATAAATTTAAGAATAAATAAAAAAATTAATTTAAAAATAATAAATTACTGGGAGATATATGAGAGTTCATGTAAAAATATTAATTATATTATGCAAAAATATAAACTTTTTAATATAAATAATTTTATACGACCATATACATTTTTTATTGTAAATAAAAAATATTTTTAGATATTGTTTGCGTTTAAGTCAAAATTTATTTATTTATATATTTACTTATTTTAATTTCATATTTTCTTATTTGTATTTTATTATTTTAATTTATATTTCTGCATAAAAAAGTTTATGTTTCCGCTCAAATTCGTTTATATTTTTGCATAACCTTGTAAGATATCGGTAGTGGCATTTAATGCAGTGGTTTTTTCCACGAACCTGGTTAGTTTTTTTCATTTAATCTGGTGATCTTTTGCATTTAACCTGCTTGTTTTTTGCATTTAACCTGGTGGTTTTTTGCATTTAATCCGGCGTTTTGTTTGCATTTAATCTGATGTTTAAAATTTATATGAAGCATGCTATGAATTGCTGAAATAATTTGTTATTCAAAAAATCGCAGATTTAAAATTAAATAGCATTGAGTAATAATAATAACAATAATAATAATAATTATAATAATAATAATAATAATAATAATAATGATAATATATACATTTTTAACGATTACGACTTTTATTCTCTATTATAGTCATCTCCATCATTACATAGCGTAATCTCCATCATTACATAGCGTAATCTCCATCATTACATAGCGTAAGAAAATATTTGCAATGTCTCACGTAGTTTGAAAGATCGTGTTCAGTAATATTCTCACAACCGTTCCTCATACGTTCTAGCAAACTGTTATTTCCGATGAGAGCTAGAGTTTTAATTAGAGAAAAAACGGGTTTAAATTGTATATGAGGAAGTTAAATTAAGTATAATAAAGATAAAGCTCTATAAAGATAAAGCTCTAAATAAAGTGGAAAAAAGCGCCAGATTCATGCAAATAATCACCATGTTAAATAAAAAGACGATTATCTTAAGGCTATATAAATTTTAAACGCTAAAAATATCTACCTATGTCTCTGTTTGCTAGTTTAATTACTATAATAAACCAATTAACACTGTAATCCAATATCTAGTAGTTGTTCGGAGCGCCTATTTGTCCCAGATTCATGGTTTTTTTGTTAGTTGTAATAGGTAAGTTGCAGAAGTGATACAAAGGCCAATCTTTTCTATGTTCATACTAATTTAAGAAAAAAAAGATGTTTTGAAAATATCGAGATTATTTGATGCTGTGAACAAGAGGGCTTTACAGATTGAAAACCCCCTCCCGTTGAAAAAAGTTGTTGAAGAAGGAGGGGGGCCGGCGCAAAAAATTTGCATGTTTACATTTTGTACTATGTTGGAGTGGAGGTACTGTTGAAAATACATGAGACGTCCAAATAATAATCGAGGATACGGTAGAATTGATCCTGAAGAGTCTACAAATACATATAAAAAGCCGTTGCACTGAAAACTGTCTAATGCATAATTCATCAAACTAGGCATAAGTTTAGTACAGCACCATATTTTCTTAATGTTAATTGCTTAATCTTATTTGTTTAGGTTCTATCGCATACCAGTCAAAATGAACATTTGGAACAATATTGTAGCAGAAATGAATGCAAGTGATTTCAACAAATAGTCTAAATATTTACTTAATTTAAAACTAGAATTGTGTTGACTCGTGTAAATCACACCTGGTCAAGTCACCTACTAGTAGTTAGGTCCATCAAAAGACGCGATAGCCTAACATTGTGTTAAAAACCGGCATTATGCTGCGAGCCTATAAACGGGATTTTATAAAGCCATTGCAACCCAATTATCTTCAAAGAACCATTGATGCCTTCGTAACAATCTTTAAGGATATCTTTTAAAATCAACAGTGGAGTGTCCATGAGTTGCTACAAATAGTCGAATATCAACTTCTGTTACGTTTATAGTCAGGGGTGGTTCTGTTACTGCTGTATCTTTCCAGTCAATGAGATTGAAATATTCAACAGCATCAAATTTCAGCTTTGGAACCCTGAACTGGCAGAGAGTAGAAAATTTTTTCAGTCGTGCTTTAAGAACTTGTAGAGAAATTAGCCACTGCAGCGTCTTTCTGTAATCTTTTTTATGTAACAATACAAGACCCATTGCAACATAGCAACGAAGTGTTTAACGTCAATCTTATTATCTGCGATGAAGCTAGCAATATAATTTTTATTATTTTTGGCTGTAGATTTGCTGTAAAATGGCCAAGATACAATGATCCCGCTTCTTGAATTAAAGTTCCTCGGTAACTATGCGACGGTAAACTTTGAACCTCTTTTATTGTTGTTCATAGTTTTGTCCTTTCTACCAATAAAGTAAATGCCACTAATTATTTTTGATTCTTGAAATGGTTTCATTTTGATACGCCTCCTTTTACGTTCTTGGCGTATTTTGCGTATGTTTTTCATGAGCCTCATGAGTTTGTCGTGATACGAGCGAATCACCTGTAAAATCCGAGTATGCGAGACAACCGATATTGAGGCTTAAACCAATTTTGTTCAATATTTTTTGTAACCTTCTCCGACATATCCGTGACATTCGGCTTTTTTGTAGCTGCTGTTGGTTTCATCTGATGTTTGATCAGAGTGTAATATAGCATAACATGTTCATAATATGTCTGACATTGTTCGGAAGAACAATGTCAGACATATCGTTTGGCATACCAAATACACAAATACCACCATTTTTCTAGAATTCTGCACTGTCATCATTCTGTACTGTTTATAACTGGCGATATTCTGATACTCTTTTTCACACTACAGTCTACAATGCACAAAAATTACACTGTAGTGCAGGTCAAACTTTTATTTCACTTACATGTAATTCAAATACAAAACCAAATAAAACATTAGTCACATTGATACAAGCTCTATTTTAAATAAACAATTTAAAAAAAACTATTTGTGAATGATAAATAGGTCAGTAAAAATAGTTTACAGTATTCAGAATACTATTCAGAATAGTATTCTGAATATTATTTAGAATATCCAAATTAGTATTCTAAATAGTATTCAGAACATCCAAAACACTTTTCTGGCTAGGACTAAAAATTATATTTTATTTCATTAATTTTTTTCCAAATAATAATGTAAATAAAGAGTTGATACTAAACAGATTTAGCTTCGTATATTTGAGAAACAAATAAGATTAAACAACAAAGCATTTGAACAATGACTTTGTATTACTAAATGCGAATTTACCAAAATTGGTTTACTTTTATTGAATTTAATGCCTACTTTGATGAATTGTGTCTCGAGTATTTTTTGTTGCAATTGCTTTTAGTAATTGTAGAATCTCAAGGATCAATTCTACCATATTCTAAATTATTATTTGAATGTCTCATGTACATCTAACAGTACATCCGCTTAAACATCGTACAAAATGAAAACATGCGAATTTTACGTGCCGAGCCCCCGGCTCAAAGATGACTGAGGATCCTCAAGATCTATCACAATCCCACAGAAACTTTTACACTTTACTTGCAATATGTCACGACAACTTTTCCTCACTATTATATATTTTTACTAAGATAAAAAAAATTCACTACATCCTAATATATAAATATATGAGCAGAAATGGCTCTTTTGAGGATGAGAGCGTGGTATAAAAAAATAAGACTTGAAAAATTATTCGGTACCAATCTTATTTTGAAATTTCCCGAGCAATTTTAACGTTCCCGTTTTGAATTCTAAATTAGCTTAATTTCAAATTTACAACCTCCCTAAAGCAATGTGACTGATAACTTGGCATAATTATAAATCATAAACATTTAAATAATTTTAAAAAAACATGCTAATGAGGTCTAAAATATACGGTTTTCTTTGCTCTTAGACTTCAAAAACCATACTTTTAAAGAATCCTTTTTGTTTCACATTACTATAAACATGCGTTGTTGTTATTATAATTGGTTATGCTATACATTATATTTCAGCACGCAACATTTAATGACGCCAAAAAAAATTAAATACCATGCTCAAAAAACGATCGGTTAGCGCACACGTTTTGGAAGAACACCAACTTTTGAAAGACGCCATATTTACTGCACGGAAGTAATTGCAGAAAAAATAGCAGCTTTAGTTAAAGATTCTACTAAGTCATAATATTTTATTTATGTCATAACATATGACGACTATGACCAGGATTCTATTCTTTTGTATTGAATCCTGGTTGCGTTTTATGACTTTTTAAGAATCCCTTAAGCGTAGGTTTTTTTTTTACATGTTTCTTATGACAAGTTTGCAAAATAACACAACTGTTCAAAAAAAAGTAATTTTTAAACTATATTTTAAAAATATTTGTTTGTTTCTTGTTTAGAAACTTTCTTTATCTTTTAGAGCTTTAAAGAAGCAATTTCTTTTGATCCCCTAATGGCAATAGCTTACTATATGATAGGATTAATTAGCTGTCAGGAAAAAGAGTAAGACGTTTATATAAACATAAAGATTATGCGGATTATTAAAAAAATTACCTTTTTTATATCTTATGTAGATACGTTAGTGCATTTGAGTATTTTCAAAAAGCAATTGAGTTATTAAGAGGTAACCGAATGATAGACTATCGCCAACTTGGATTAAATATTCAGCTTTATTTATGCGAGGTTTGTATTCATAATAAATAAAAAAGTTTATTAAGCTTATATTGCACCATTTAACGCAAAGATATAACTACAAATAAGTTTGAAAAAAACTTAATTATAGTTTTTACTTATATATAGCATACTCGTTTATATAAAAGTTATAATTTTTCAATGGCATAAATATTTTATGTTAAGTATAATTTTAGAACTAATTTTAATGAATCACAATTTCTTGACTACATTTTACGATTTATAGATACTGAGCAATCAAGCTGCAACATATTATTACCAAGATAATTATCAAGAAGCTAAACAAAAGCTTCTTTTAGCAGTTGTTTGCAAAATGGAAAAAAAACATGATTGCATTGACGATTTTCTCGCAAACATTCAAGTAAATATCTTTATTAATTCTTTTTTAAATTTTTTTCTTTTTTAACGGATTAACTTTACTATTTCGTGACGTTAGGGATTTTCCTAATGTAGGTGCTTGGATGTGGGAGAGGGGGTTAATTATAAAAATAATATGACATAAATTCAAAAAAAATCATAAAATGTTGGGTATATAGGTTAAAAGCGTAGATACTTTTTGGGAGGAGGAGAGTACTCAAAAAAGCGTTTTGCAAATTGTGGGTCAAAATAAAAGCTGCGTACTTAATGGACAACCCCTTAGAAATATCTCATTTTACCTCCACACTTTTGAATTTTGAGATAAAACTGTTTAAATTATAAATACTTTAGGAGAAGTCATGGAAAAATGTTTTTTAAATTTTTGTTTTCTTCGCAACTTTTTTATTTATAAGGTTTTAATAAAGTAGAAAAATATTTTTTAAGTTGTGCAAAATTTCTGACAAAAAAACAAAAATTCTGTTGTACATAGCAATGACAATGAATCAATTTTTCAAAAAAGTTGAAATAATACAAAATAATACTAACGTCGCGATTTATTGACTACTATTCCTTTTAAGACAAAAAAACTTTTTTATACTATAATTAATTTTGAAAAGGAAAAAAAAATTTATACTTAAATGATTTTAGAAGTATTATTGAAAATTCTCATTCGCAATTACCACTAATAAAAAAGATATTACAAAATAATAAACAGATTAGTAAAATAAACTCATAAAAACGTGTTTTATCAGCAAAAATATTTTCAACCATTATATTTGAATAATTACAAAAGTATATTGGTTTCTAGGACTTCTATTTTACCTTGAAACAATGATGAACATAACCAGGCCCGTCGATAGGGGGCAAACATTTTTTGGAGTATCTTACAACCCTATGAGGCATACGTACCTTGAATATACCCCAAAATATGAGGTCCGCCAAAATACTTGAAAAATTTATTTAAGCGCCACCATTTAATAAAAAACATATTTCTGGGTATTTTTTCCCGACTCTATACAGTGTTATATTCTTTAATAAGCCTTGCTTCCAGTCGGCAACAATATATCTTTGCAATATATTTATCGCTATCCAAAAAGTTTAAACAATTATTATATTTAGAAAAAACGTCACCAGCTGACGCATTACGTAAGAACTTAGAAATCCAATAAGTTGTTTTTACTTCATTGTCTATATCATCCCAAAAGCAAACATGTAAATCTATTCATCAAATAAGGTGGTTTGATAAGAGACTTTGTGCGATTCATTTAGCATTGCTTTTTTAAAAACAGAAGCAACACCGTTACATAAAATGTAATTGCATTTTTCATTCCTCAAGTAAAATTGAGAAATTTGATTTTCTGGAAACATGGAACAGTGCAGCATACTATTTGTTCTGAACAACAGTACAAATATTATCATTTTAAAACTTTTAGTGACCAAATTAACTGCATTGAATGTTTTATCTCTTGACATCATACCAATTAAATTCTTTTTTTTTTTTTAATTTGTTTTCTGTTTTGGTAGATTTTTTACTCCTGAGGATTTTTAAATTTACTTACTGCTACCATTATGGACAATCGCCACATGTTTATTCCCAGAACTATGCTTCCTAATATTTTCTATTCAACCGTTTGCAATCCTTCAAAAAACTTGTAAATAACTTCTAAAAACTTTAATAAAGTGCATTTTTTTCATTCTTTTTATCGGCTTACAGCCACCATTTAAATTCTCCTTCAATAAACCAGAAGTCTTTAAACTAACTTTTATCCCAGCCGGCATTTGGTCCTAAAAAGATGTCTTATGATCGTTCAAAAAACGTTCTGAACATCTTTTGAACGTTCAAAAGACGTTTTTTTAGCACCAAATGACGGCTGAGATACTTTACAATTATTTTTACTTGTCTAAACAAAACAATTAAATTCTTTACGGTAGACATAACGAAAAATAATTTTATTTAAACTAACTTCTACTCTGAAAATTTAATAAACTCCTGGTATCGTTGTAAGAATAAGTAAAGATTGCCAAAAAATATTGTTAGAAAATAAGTAAAGATTGTCAATAAAAAATATTGTTATAAGAATAAGTAAAGGTTGTCAAAAAGATAACTACTGTCATTATAATTAAAATCAAAACAATAACAAAATTTTTAAAGAAGAGTTAAAAAAGAGATTTTATCACAGTTTTTACATTTTAAATGATAATAGAGGATTTTAGAGGAGATTTTTAAAAAAAGAGGACTTGAGAGGATTTTAGAGTAAATCTGGCCATCCTCTTAAAAAAAAATGTTATTGTAAAACGTTTTTAAAATATAAAAATACACTGAAAAAAACTGCAAAAAAACACTGTTACCATATTAAAACAAATTAAATAACCCAAAATGTGTTTACATGATGTAATTTTGATGTATTATTGACGTAACTTTGTCGAAAATCTTTAAGAAAAAGTAATGTCTACACAGAAGCTATTTTATTTGTTGTTATATAGTAACTTTTTTGAAATTTTTCTTTTGTCTTACGTAAACTTATTTTTGAAATTGTTATAAGTAATGCTGTCAAAAAAACATCTTAATAAGTGGCAAAATAAAAATATTTTTATATAATTTCTTATATAAATAAAATCTGCACCTACCAATAAATTGAAAATATTAATGTTACCAAACGTACCCAAATGATTTGGCCCGAAATAACTGCAGTTGTAAAGTATTGAAAAGCTCACCAAAATTGTAGCAACCTAGAAACGGAAAGGCTGGACAAATCACGAGTTTTAATTGTTTTGCTAAAGCTACTGAAGATGCCACAATAAATTGTAGCATCATAATAATATCTTAATCACCTTTTAATCAATGATTTGTTTCTAATCGAGCCACTTGTCTACGTTTTTGTAATTTATGCAGTCGCTTTTAGAGGAAGAATGGTTTAGAAAAAGCAAACTCTGTATATAGGCCGCTAAAAGTTAACTTTATTGATAAAGTTAATCAAGTGTTATTGGAGTCTTTTGATCTTGATTTTGCTAAAAAACACGGTATCAAAATTTTGAAAAAAAGAGAAAAGTTGAAAGATAATCACTTACGCAATTTTTAGTCTAACGCTTTACAATTTACTTTTAAATTATTACACATTTTACAGAAAAAAAGTATATTGAAAAAACCTTGTTTGAAGCACTTCTTGTTTGTCTCAGACTGAGTTTTCAATATTTCTAATTTAGAAAAAAATACTTGAATTTCTTGTTGGTTTGCAAAAACTGACTTCTGAAACTTTATAGAATGACAAATAAAATTATTTAAATTTTTTTTTCAAATGTTGTTTTGTCAAACAATAATGCAGAACTACTCATAGAATTTAATGAATTTAAAAATCAATTGAAATCACTTCTTTGGAAACACATTGGTTCAAATTCCAACTATAAATCTAATTGGTCTGTTGCCAAAAGAGTTCTACTTTTACCTCACGGTCAGTCTTAAGTTAAGAGAGAATTTACTAAAAAAAAATTGTTTCTTGTTAAAAATCTTAACATTGAAAGTCTCATTTCTCAGCGATCAATTTGCGACTAAATTAAAAAGGAAAAAACATTAAACCTCACAACTTTTCGATGTTAAAGAATCAATTACCTTCTCGACAAAAATATCAACAACCACTTGTTCATAAATCTAAAATAAAATCGAGCAAGAAAATGAAATACAAATTAAGATGTTTTTGAAATTAAATAAATAAATAATTTTTTTATTTATTTTTTTTTTTTTTTTTTTTTGCCATATAAATTTATTCATAACATAAAATATGTAAATACAAAGAGCAGGGGCAAGAAGAAGACATTTGTCTTATCGCCAAGCCCCTTAATCTATACCGTAATACACAATAATAAAGTATAAAAATCGTAAAACTACAGCACTACAGCATATAAAATATTGTTTTATAGACTTTTTATATTTATAAGAAATACAACAAACAAAAAGATAACAATAAAAATCTACTTTTTTTCTTATTTTAATATAACAAAAGGACAAAAATTAAATAATAAAGTTGTCTGTGCGGAAAAAAACTATTATCAAGTTTAAAAAAGATGGTGATAAAAAGAACGATATAACAACCTTATCCAAAAGTGCTGCAATTAAGAATTAACAACTCTCAGTAAATTGAAATGCAAGAAAGTAAAGTTTTTAGACCTTAAGAAACAAATTCATTAATCACAAATTTATGGTCTGCAAAATTAGTTAACGCGTGAAATTGCTTTGGATTCTAAAAATCACTTCAGCAAATTCCTGTTATTTAACTTAACAAATAGCATTATTTAAACTTATCCAAGCCACACAAGTGCGGAAACATCGTCGTTAAACCTTAAAAAAAATCCTTTTATAGTTTTACGTAAAAAATCCTTTAAATTAGATGCAAAACCTTCTCAAAAAAATTCTAACATTTAAGTATAAACTTTGTGTGGCCACCTTGTTAATTTTTAAAATTATATTTTGAAAAGTATATAATAATTTAATTGATTATTGTGGTACTAGGTAAAATACGAACTGCAAACCGCGAACTGCGAACTGGTAAAATGCGAACTTTTTTGCGAACCATCGTCTTATTGGTTGTTAATGATGTAATGTTTTATTTCCGTTAAATAGTTCATTTAGCAGTACATTTTAAGGACTTTTAAGCAAAAAAAATAATTAAAAATAAATAAAAGAAAACTAAATGAAAAATTATTTTTTTAATTATTTGATAGATATTAAGTATATTATAAAAGTATATAAAATTATGTACATGGTTCCTAATAACCTTTTTATGTCAATAATAATTAAAATTTAAATCATAAATAATTCTCAAAATCAATAACTTCTTTTTTAGGCTGGTAAATCTATTACATTATTCACGCCTCCTTCAAGCGCAATTTATAGACCATCAAAATTATCTATTAATAACTACAAAAAAAAAGATTACTTAGGAAAAGCAAAGGTAAAATGAGGATTAAAAATTTAGATTAAAGGATAAGAAAACTTATATTTTGATACATAAAACTTATATAAATGAAAATATTTATTATGCAACAAAACAAAGTCGAAAAATAAACTATTAAGTCAAAAATATAAAAATTTAAATATTAGTAATGATTAATTAATAATGTAGTTTTTTAATTTATTTTGAACGAATCAGGTGATAGCCGCCGAAAACGAAGAAAGTCTTTACACGTGTTTTTCTGGAAAGGAGGTGACATCTAGTTTCATTTAAAATTCTAATTTTGATAATTATTTGCTACATTGTTTTTTATTTTACTTTCTTTTCAAAAGGACTTGAATTATAAACATTTTGATAAAATGCGTTTACGATTTTTTTAGTTGCAGGCCACGCTGCCTAAGAATGCTCATGAGGAAGTCCAAGCTAAAGAGAACTTCAAAAGTGAACGCAAAGCCATGTTAGAACAAATTAGGCAGCCAGAGCGTAAAGCAACTTTAAGAAAACCAAAACCAGTTAAGCAACTACCAGTTCCAGTTGACCAAGAATTAGAAATACAATCAAACCTCCAAACAATTTTAAGTAAGCCATTGTTCGAAAACGCGTCCACCGAAAAAATGCATACTGAAGATAAATCTTCTGAAAACAAATTCACTGAAAACGGTTGCAAACCTCCATGTGAAACAACAGCTAAACCTTTGTCTCCAGAACTAAATTTCGAAGAACATTCAATCTCTTCAGAAAACGCAGCAACGCCTAAAGAATATTACAAACCTTCTAATATTCGCCCGCAGAAGCCATTACCAAAGTTAACTAACGATACAAATAACAATGACCATATCATAGAACATGATGCTTCTGTAGAACTTGATAAAAGTACAAGTCTAATGAATAATAATATTTTTAAACACAACAACAACACTACGTTGGTTAATGCAGAATCACAAGAACTATCCAATAATAATACTCGACCAACAAATATTCGAAGCAACACAATTTCAGAACCTTCTGCTATTTACAAATCGCTTCCATTTATAAACAACACTAACACATTAAATATAAGGAGCAATAGCATCTCTGAAGTTTCTTCTGAAAAAAAGAGTAAAAAATTGAAAAATAAATTACTGCATACCAAAGCAAACATAAAAGAAGTTTTAAAATATGATTCAAAAAACTCAAAGCAAGAAGTAAAGATTTTTATATTTTTGTTCTTGTTTTTGTATTTAGTAGCAGTTAGGAACAAAAGGTAAAAACTTAAACAAAAATAGAATTTGCTATACTATACGCAATTAACAAGGTATTATAGTTAAAGGTTGTACAGATTTCTGAAGAATTCTAAAGAGTGTTCGTAGAATCTGTATCCTATTAATAAATGCTAATTTTATATAAATTACTGTATACTGATTTGTTTTTATTATTACTATACTGATAGGTTATCGATATTAGTTTTTTATTTTATATATTATGTTTTATTTGATTTAATGTTTCTTTATTTAATGTTTTATTTAAATTTTAGGGCCAGGGTTAAGGGTCAGAGTTTGGTTCAGGGTTTAGGATCAGGTTTAGGGTTGGGGTTAAGAGTCAGGTTTAATATCAAAAAGTACATTTTATAAAAGCTTATTATTCTGTAAAATATTTTATTTTAAAATTTTGAAAAGCGTTAAAATTTCAAAACTTGAAGTGGAAGAGAAAAATAACAGCAATTACCTGTTAAATACTTGACCGGTATTTGCTGGTTTGTTAAAATAATATTTTAAAAAACAAAAGTGGTTTGAATTCGAATAATATCTAATAAATTTTTGTACGAAATCTTTTTTTTAATTTTGTAGCTAAAATTCTTTATATTTAATCTAAAATTTTGTTAAAAGTAATCAAATTTTAATAAAACTTATCATTAGAGTTTTTTATGGATAGATAAAGAATTAATTGGTTAAATGGATGAATAATTGTGTGAATGGTTTTAATTCATCCAATAATATCTAGATAATTATACATAATTACAAAAGCTATAATAAATATAATCAATTAAGTATAACATAACATAAGTTTATTATGTTTATATTAAGCATAACATAAGTTTATTATGTTTTCATTTAATTATAGTTATATTCATTATTAGTAAGTGGTCAATCTAGACCATGTCAAGATCGGTTGTGTCAACATTGATGCCGCAACTGTTAATTGTTTTTGATGAATTTGAAATTTGCTATTTCACATTAGTTTTGCTATTTGTTAATTTACAGTTTTTATTTTAATAAATTATTTTCCTTCAAATATTATCTATTAATTGTGTATTTAGTATATTTAAAAACTTTAATTATTTATTTTTAATGGAATGATTATGATAATTTAAGAATGTTAACAAAATAAAAAAAAGTTGAATAAAAAATAAAAAACCTAAAAAAAAAAATGTCCAAAATTTTTTTTTTATCTGATTGTTAAAATAAAACCCTGAATAATTTGAAATATTATTGGTCAAAACAATTGCATTATTAAAGCCTAAAAATTCTCATTTGTTTTTTTGTATTAGTTTTTTTTTAAACGTAATTTTCTTTAGAGTAACGCTCAGACAAATTCGTTTGAAATTGAAGTTCAATATGCATTTGTGCAGAAAGTTTTTATTAATGAAAATTCTTCATATGGCGAAATAGAAAACTTGATAAAATCCAGGACTATCCCGCAGAAAATTGAACTATGGTAAAGCATTATTAAAAAAATCTTATTTTTAAAACTTTAATTTTTTTATTTATACGTTAAATTTAAATTTTCTTTTAGCTATAACGATGAACTGGGTCGACAGCAAAAGTTAAACGAAAATACTATGCATGAGTATTTTAAAAATGATCCTAGGAAGAAAATATTTTGTTTTTCGGCCTAATAAAAAGAATATTTTAAAGAATTTATTCATAATTAAAGTTTTTAAGTTTGTATGCTTTGTAAAATAAATATAAAACTATTATGTAAAATAAAAACAATCATTCTGCATTTGTTTGTATCAAAATTGATTAGCATTTTTTCAGACTCACTCATTCCTTTAAAACTTTTTTGTACAACGAGCTTAAAAGATAAGCAAAACCGAAAAAAATACTTTTACGCTTAACTTATACAAGTCAAACAAGCCGTAAAAATTTATTTACTTTGAAAATGTTTTTTTTATTATTTTGCATAGAAAAATTATGTGAGCGATTTCATTATTTAGTAGCTTTTGCTTTTACTGGCTATTTGATAGCTTTTCTTAACAAACTTGTTGTCGCGATTTGATATCCTGATTCAGTCATGCTTTTGCTTGTCTCTATTCGATTAATGATATTTTGATTATTATATTATAGTCTTACCCATCAACTTCGATTTGGTGTCAGTGAGCTATTAAAAAAAAAAAAAAAAGAACGAACAACTAAAATAAGGAACAAACAACTAAAATAATGAACGAACAACTAAAATAATGAACAAACAACTAAAATAATGAACGAACAACTAAAATAAAGAACGAACAACTAAAATAATGAACGAACAACTAAAATAATGAACGAACAACTAAAATAATGAGCGAACAACTAAAATAATGAACGAACAACTAAAATAAAGAACGAACAACTAAAATAATGAACGAACAACTAAAATAATGAACGAACAACTAAAATAATGAACGAACAACTAAAATAATGAACGAACAACTAAAATAATGAACGAACAACTAAAATAAAGAACGAACAACTAAAATAAAGAACGAACAACTTCGGCTAAAATCTTTTTAAAATTAAAAAGATTTAAAAAGATGTTTTTCTGGACAATTGTCCTCGTAATGCGGTAATACATGTTTCATGTGTATATCGTTACGATTATGGTAAAATGCTACCTTTTAAACGAAATTTATAATAAAGTTACTGCTCATTTTTTTGTAACTAATTTGCTAGCTGTTGTATTGAAGTAATAACCAACTATGATTTTCATCGGACTTTGTACCAAAACATTAACATATGTGCAAGTTTTTCTGTTACGTACTGACTTTTTTAAATCTTTAGTTAAAAATAGATAAATAGGTTTCGGTCTGCGAATTAAAAGTTAAACTAATTTTTTCAGCAACATTGGTTATTTTGTAATATGATTAAGATTAATATGGTATAGATTAAGCGGCTTGGTGATAAGACAGAGTCTTTTTCTTGCTCCTGCTATTCGTATTTATACTATGTTTAAATTTATGCAGCAACAAAAAAAAATAATCCGCCTATAAAAACTGCTACACGTTCTTCAATATAAGTAATTACTTTGTGCAGTTGGAGTGGTAGCGCACTTGTCTCACAAACAAAGGATCCGTGCTTAAAACTCCACCTCTGGGCAAGTTTTGCGACATTGATTAAAAAGGAGGAGTGAAATTCCAACTAAATGTTCATCCAAGGTGGTCTGTGATAAGACCGTAAGGACTTATCACAGAAACATATTAGAATATCTAAATAAAGTAAAAAAAAACTAAAAATAACATTTTTTCAACAATAACTTCTTTGGTTAGAATCTTCTTTGGTTTAAATCAACAAAGAACAATTTGGTTGAAAGTAACATTAAAAACGAGTGCACTCTTTGATAGAAAAAAATCAACAAAGAACAATTTGGTTTAAAGTAACATTAAAAATGAGTGCACTCTTTGATAGAAAAAAATCAACAAAGAACAATTTGGTTAAAAGTATCATTAAAAATGAGTGCACTCTTTGATAGAAAAAAATCAACAAAGAACAATTTGGTTTAAAGTAACATTAAAAATGAGTGCACTCTTTGATAGAAAAAAATCAACAAAGAACAATTTGGTTGAAAGTAACATTAAAAATGAGTGCACTCTTTGATAGAAAAAAATCAACAAAGAACAATTTGGTTGAAAGTAACATTAAAAATGAGTGCACTCTTTGATAGAAAAAAATCAACAAAGAACAATTTGGTTGAAAGTAACATTAAAAATGAGTGCACTCTTTGATAGAAAGAAATCAACAAAGAACATTTTTAAAATTTTATATTTTTAGAAGTTATGCTCGCGTGTTTGCTTGCGTGTAAGTTGTCTTTTATGGCGTACAGCTGATACTGACCGATATTGATTATCAGCTTCTTTTTTGATCTACTGCCAAAAAATGTATTTCAACTAAATTATACGACATTTCTTGTTGCACTTGACAATTTATATAATATATAATAACATAAAACACAGGCAACAAAAAAATATACAACTCATTCTTCACCAGCATGTCAAGTTGTAAAGATATTTGGGTTCAAATCTTGAGCAATTGGGATAAAGTCCCTAATATTGTCAAAAAAAAAAAGTTTTCAAAAGTACTTTAACCTGGCTCTAAAAAGAAGCGTATTTTCATAGAAAATTTAGGAAACAAAAATAGTTTTACTTAAAATTCTAAAAAAAAATTTACTTAAATTCAAAAATAATGTAAAAAATTGCTTAAGATTCTTAAAAGACTTTTAACAAAATTTTATAATATAAAAATATAATATAAAAATAATATAAAAAGTAATAATCAGGGGTGTGGACTTGTAAAAAATAAAAACTAAATCCGATTCGGATTCCAATCGTTAAAATTTTCAGAGTTGGATTCCGACTCCGACTCCTTAACCTTATCTTCTCTGAGCACCTATATGCTTTAACTTTTTTATTGTTGTAGTTTCAGTATATACTTTTGTATTTTATTTTATATATTTTTAAACGTGTGTTTTACAATAATATTTATGCTATGCTAAACAGAAAAAGAAAAAAAATGAGTGCACTCTTTGATAGAAAGAAATCAACAAAGAACAATTTTTATATTTTATATTTTTAGAAGTTATAGTAATGTTTAAATTATTAAAGAATCTGACTCAATCATAGATAATGCATAGCAACCTAATGCGTAGCAACCTAATGCATAGCAACCTAATGCATACCAACCTAATGCATAGCAACCTAATGCATAGCAACCTAATGCATAGCAACCTAATGCATAGCAACCTAATGCATAGCAACCTAATGCATAGCAACCTAATGCATACCAACCTAATGCATAGCAACCTTATGCATAGCAACCTAATGCATAGCAACCTAATACAATAACCTCAGCAATAAAGTATGCGGTTGTCTCTATCCTGCTAATCAACCTACAGTTACACAAGGCTCCTTGTGCAGCCTCGATGTTACACATCAAAAGCACCCATAAGAACATTATCTATTCGCAACATAACACTGTTAGTACATAGATATTTCAAAGCTGTTAATTTGTTTTAAATTGTTTGGTGTTGAGTCTCGTCGAAAAGTCGGTATTAATAAACGCGGCTCTGAGGAGATGTTTGTTACCACCACTACATAAATTATGAATACACAAAAGCAGTAATGTTTTTTCTTTATCTTAAACTCTTATCATTTTATAATTAATTTTTTTTAAATATTGATATATCTATGCATGTGCATATTTCTTGTAAAGTATGTTAAACTTTTGTATTTAATGAAAATTTATAGTTACTTATGTGTCCTGCTATGTTTTATGTATACTTTAACGATAAAATTACTGTTGATTATCATTTGTGTATAACTTTTTTCTTTCTAAAATAAATCTGTTATTATTCTGAACATCTAGTCGTTTTTCTTTGTTTTTGTTACTTATCCTCCTTTGTATAATAAGTATTTTCAATAGAAATGTTTCATATGTCTCTGTGGGCTTTATATTCATGGGGGCTTTATATTCATGTGGCTTTATATTCATGTGGCATATTGTGGCTCATATTCATGTGGCATATATGTGGCATATATGTGGCATATATGTGGCATATATGTGGCATATATGTGGCATATATGTGGCATATATGTGGCATGGCATATATGTGGCATATATGTGGCATATATGTGGCATATATGTGGCATATATGGCATATATGTGGCATATATGTGGCATATATGTGGCATATATTCATATGGCATATATATCATTCATGTGGCATATATGTGGCTTTATATTCATGTGGCATATTCATGGGCTTTATATTCATGTGGGCTTCATATGTCTCTGTGGGCTAGTTCAAGCATCGCAGATTACCTGTATCAAATATAACAAAAATATTAAATGAGCAACAACTATCTTATTAAACAGCAATAATCATTTTAAAACGGCACAAACATACGGATAACATTAAATAGCATAATATATAAATAGCCTTAAACATCTTATGAAAAAATTTTTTTTCTGAACTCTTTTAATTAGATATTGGTATAGTTGTATCTTCAGTTATAAATTTTCTAATCACTGTTCTTTCATTGCAAGCAAGGCACATTCTCATTCCTACTTACTTTTAAAATTATTTATCAGTAACGATTTCAAGCTTCAAATCAAAGCCTATAAAGTTTTTGTTCCACCTATTATATATTCTTTACGTATATCTTTTAAAAGATATACGTCGGTTAGAAAAGGTTCAGAAATCTTTTACTAGAAGTGTCTGTAAAAGATGTTGTATTCCTTATAAAGATTATTCTTTAAGACTAAATATCTTCAATCTAAATCTTTTGAATACCTTAGAACAAAATTTCATCTTTTAATGACCTATAAAATTATACACAGCTTTGTCGATCTACCTTTTTTTTTTGAGCTCGTTCCTTCTTACTATCCAACAAGGCGTCATGCCCAAGAACTTAATTCACGCATTAAATGTAAAAATGATACACGAAGATTTTTCTACTGTGAAAAAATTATCAAGATATGTAACTCTCTACCTGTTTATATTGTTTACTCGTCTACTTTGTCTTTGTTAATAATAATAATGATAAACTGTGGCAAGAAAATATTAAAAGAAGGATTAAACAAGTAACACTAAGTAAATTAGTTTTTTTTTTAATCTCGCTTTAAAGGGGTAGCAACCTTTTAGTTCCTTGTCGGTAGACGATGAACTGTAGCAGTAATTTGTTAATAAATTCTAAAACTAGATTGTTTATCGATAAAATGTTTAAATTCATTTTGGTTACAAGAGTCAATTGCAATTTATGGGAGTAAATTCCATCGGTTGACTACTCTGTTAG